GGCAGAGTTTGAATTTAAGGGAAAGACAGAATTCCATCCAGTAAGAAGTTACAAGATGATAGATTTTAGTTTCAAAGACCACAATTATCTGCATATTCCTTATGCTTTCATGTTCTCATGTTTTGTTTAAATTGTTTCCTTTTCCTGGAATACCATCCTTCTTGCTTTTTCACCTTGTAAATTTTTTAACCTTCAAGGTCAACCCCTACTTTCTTCTGTTTTTCCAAATACAGTTAATATTTCTCTCTATGTTCATTTATCACTTTATTTCTTAAATATATAACTTATCAAATTGTTTTAGAAATTTGTGGACATGTGTCTCTTCCACTACAAAGAGAGGTTCTTAAGGATAACTGTGTGAATCAAGCATTTTTATATTCTCAGCAACTAATTTGATGATGCTCCCATTTACTGATTTATTCATTCACTTACCAAATATTTATGGAGTTCTTACTGTGTATTACATATTGGAAACAGACAAGTGAACCAGCAGAAAAAAAATCCTGGCTTTCATGGAGCATACACTTTATTGATGGTTTAAAGAAGTAACTTCTGATTTCATTGATTTTCTTCATTGTTTGTTCATGTTTTATTCCGTTGCTTTCTGCTCTTTGTTCTTTCTCTTCCTTTTGTTGATTTGGGTTTAATATACTCTTTTTCTAGTTACTTAGTATGACAGTTGAGAATCATTGATTTGAGAATCCTCTCTCTAATAAAGAGATTTAAAAGCTATTAATTTTCCTCAAAGACCTGCATTATCTGCAGCCCATACATTTTGATACTTATATTTTCATTGTCATTCAAGTAAAAATGTCTTCTAGTGTCTCCTGTGATGTCTTCTTTGATCTCATAATTATTTAGAAGTATGTTGCCTAATTTCTAAATATTTGGGGGGTTTTCTTGTTCACTTTGTTGTTTTTGACTTCTAATTTATTACTACTCTGGTCAGAGAACATATTCTTTCAATCTTTAGGTTTATTCAGGTCTTTTTTATGGCCCAGAATATGATATGTCTTGGTAAATATTCCGTGTACACTGCTATTGTTGGCTGTAGTTTCCTATATGTACCAATTAAGTCAAAGTGGTTTATAATGTTGTTCAGATCTTCCATCTTTACAGATTTCTTTTTATTAATTGTCGCATCAGTTGCTGAGAGAGGGGTGTTAAAATATTCAAGAATAATTGTAGAATTGTCTATTTCTCACTTTAATTCTATCAATTTTTGTTTCATACATTTTAAAGCTCTATTTATGATTGTCTTTCTGATAAGTTAACACATTTTTCATTATGAAATGTCCTTCTTTATAGCTGGTAATACATTTTACTTGACATCTATTTTATCTGACATTAATATTGCCACTGCAGCCTCCTTATGCTTACTGTTTGCATGCGGTATCTTTTTTTCCATTCATTTACTCTCAAACTGTGTCTTTGTATTTAAAGTGTGTGTCCTACAGTCAGCATATAGTTGAACCTTACTTTTTTTCCTGACATTTTCTGCCTTTTAATTGATGTGGCTAATGCAATTATTGCTTTCATGTAACGTTTAATATAATTATGTCTATGTTAGGTTTGGATTTACTATTTAATTTTTGTTTTCTACTTTTCTCTTTTTTGTTGTTGCTCTTCTGTTCATCTTTTCCTTTCCTCTTTTGGATTATTTGAATACAGAATTTCAGTTTAATTTTTCTCCTGGTTGTTTTGGCTCTACTTCTCTGCATTATTCCCTAGTAGTTCCTGAAGGGGTACGATGTATGTCTTTACCTTTTCATAGAACACTTCCAGTTAACAGTGTATCCTTCATGTACAATATTAAAGTCTTGCAACCTTATAGATCCATATCCTCCCCATCCTCCATGTTATGGTTGTTATATGTGTTCCAAACATGTACCTTAAGTACTATAAGACCGTGTTATAATTTTTGTCTTAAAAGTTTATAGGTTTAAAAGAACACTAAAAGGAAAATGCAGAAAGAAGAAAGTCTTGCTCATTCAGATATTAATCAATTCCAGTGGTCTTCATTCTTTTCTGAGGGTCTGAGTTTTCATCTTATGTAATGTCCCTTTACTCTGAAGAACTTCTTTTAGGTTCTTGTAATGCAGATCTGCTGGTGATAAAGTCAGTTTTTATTTATCTGAAAAATGCTTTACTTTGCCTTCATTCTTGGAGGATACTTTTGCAGGATATAGAATTCTGGATTGATTTTTTTTTCATTCAGTACTTTAAAGATGTCACTTCATTTTCTTGTGGTCTCCATGGTTTATGATGACCAGCTATTAATCAGATTATTGTTTCTTGTATATAATATGTCATTTTTCTCTTGCTGTTTTCAATATGTGTACTTTATCTTTGGTTTTTAACAGTTTGATTATGATATACTTGGAGTGGTCTTCTTTGTGTTTATTTTGATTGGTTTTTGTTTAGCATTTTTACATTTCTGTCCTTTACTGAACTTGTGATATTTGAGGCCATTATTTTTCAGATATCTCTTCTGTCCTATTCTCTCTCTCTTTTTATATTCTACTTAAATGTATGTTGGACTGTTTAAGACTGTCTTAACAAGTCCCCAAGACTCTGCTCATTTTTTCCTCTGTGTTCCTATTGATCTGTCTTCAGATTTACTTAGTTTTCCCTTCGTCATGTCTGTTAATTCCATTTAGTGAATTTTTTTATGTCAGAATTTTCAGTTGTACAATTTCCATTCAGTTCATTTTTTATTTCTATTTTTTTGCCAGTACTTCCCATTCCTCTCTGGAATTTTCATTCACTGAAAAAAAACCCTCTTTTACATATAAAAGATAGTCATGATATCCATTTTAAATTCCTTCTTCATTGGTTCCAGCGCTTCGTTCATTTTGGAGTTGGACAGACTGTCTTTTCTCTTGGGACTGTCTTCCATTTCTTGATCCTTAGTATGTTAGTAATTTTGAATTGTATCCTGGACATTATGAATGTTAAGTTGTGGAGATTTTGTAGTCTGTTATTTTTCTCTGATGAATCTTGTTTCTTTGTCTCAGTGGGTACTTTTCTTGGTTAGGCTTGAACTGCAAACTCTGTTCTGAGCCTGTTCTGTGTATGTGTGATTTACTGGTCAGCCAGAGATATAAAGAGACAGAGTTAGGGGACCCCCTCTCTAGCTTTTCTCCTTCTGTGATTTCCCCACTGTCTTCAGTGTTCACAGTTTTCAGACTTCACTTTGTGTTTTTTCAAGGATGAGAAGACTGCAGGGTTTCCACATGTCCTTACCCCCATCATGTGCACTGCTTAGCCCTGGGCTGAAAGCCATGAAAAGGGGAGTTTCCTTGTACAGTTCCCCATCTGTGCCCCCCCAAGGGGGTGTAAGCCCCTGCCAGGGTGTATATGCCTGTGTCCACTCTCTAGTACCTTCTGCTGTTGTCTGTGTAATTTCCAGGTCTAACAGTTACTTTCTGCAGAGGAGTGTTGTCCAGTAGGGGTCCGTCATACCCAGAAGCAGAAGTGATTCCATGACGCTTGCATTTTTTCTTAATTAAAGTGTGGTGGGTTTATAATGTGTTAATTTCTAGTGTACAGCACAGTGATTCAATTATACATAGACATATATATTCCTTTTCATATTCTTTTTCATTATAGGCTATTATAAGGTATTGAACGTACTTCCCTGTGCTCTACAGTAGGACCTTGTTCTTTGTTTTATATATAGTATCTGCAAATCCCAAACTCCAGTTTATCCCTCCACCCCTTCTTTCCCTCCAGTCACCATAAGTTTATTTTCTATGTCTGTGAGTCAGTTTCTATTTTGTAAATAAGTTCATTTGTCTCATTTTTTTAGATTTCACATATAAGTGATATATGGTATTTTTCTTTCTCTGTCTGACTTGCTCACTTAGCATGACAATCTCCAGGTCCATCCATATTGCTGTAAATGACATTATTTTATTCTTTTTTTATGGCTGAGTGGTGTTCCATGGTGTATATGTGTATGTGTGTGTGTGTGTGTGTGTGTGTGTGTGTATGAAAAACACAACTTCCCTGTGCAGTCATCTGTCAGTGGACACATAGGCTGCGTCCACGTTGGCTGTTGTAAATAGCGCTGCTGTGAACACTGGGCTGCATGTGCGTGATGCTTACATTTTAGTTGAGAGACACAGACAAAAGCAAACAAGCAAGATGGTTACAGTTCAGGGTAAAGCTATGAAAGAAAGAAATAAGGTGGATGTGATTGAAAGGAACAACTTTAGGGAAGGTTATAGCAAGGTTTTCTGAAAAAAACTTCTGCCTGAGTTGAGACCAAAAGAAGGACTTGGTTATGCAAAAAGTTGGTTGAGAAATTCTTCAAGCAAAGGCAACAGCAGATGGCAAATCCCTACGGTAGGAGAGAAAGGACAGTGTGGCTGGGGCACGGGAAGGGAAGGAAGGGAAAGGAAGAAGGAGGTAGAATGAGGTTGGAGAAGCCAGGAAGCTCATGGAGGGCCCCAGTGGACCTTGATACGGACCTGGAGTTAGTGATTCTGTGCAAGGACCTAGGATGATTCTAGCTCTAAGGGTGTGCTTGCCAAACAGGTTTGACCTCTACTATTGCCTAGTAGCCAATCCTTAAAAGTCCTGACTGGTGAGTAGTATGGCCTTGCACTTATCTGACCGACCTGCCAGTTAGCTTTGTTGAAACAAACGTTAGAAGACCATGCAGTGGATTTCTGCAACGTGTGGGAAGTTGAATAGATGTATGCTAATATCCTCTCTACTTCTGAGGTTCTCTGGTGTCATAGAAAAGGAGTTGGCCTGCATCTAGCAAAATACGGCAATTAAAACCACAGTTTAAAAAAAAAAAAGCACAAACATAGAGAATGAAAAGACAATAGCAGAATGAAGCACTGCAGTTGTGCCTAATAAAAGATCGCATGTGATTTCTGCCTACGAGCATTGTTATCATGTTATAGCAGTGCCCTATGTTTCTTACTCTGATTTCTCCGGGGAGTGTTTGAGACTCACCTGTTCCTCTCCCCCGGTCTAGATGACAGCGCTTCTGCTGCCAGTAGCATGGAGGTCACAGACCGCATTGCCTCCCTGGAGCAGCGAGTCCAGATGCAGGAAGACGACATCCAGCTGCTCAAGTCGGCCCTGGCCGACGTGGTCCGGCGGCTGAACATCACCGAGGAGCAGCAGGCCGTGCTCAACAGGAAAGGACCTACCAAAGGTGAGCGCTCGAGAGGGGCAGGAACAGCAGTGGAGCGGGGCTTGTTGTGGATTCTTGCTCCAGCGGACACGTTGCACGCTTAATATTTGCGGAGAACTCAAGTTTAGAAAAACAGGGAAGCGGTCTTAGGAGTGTCAAAATCATTGCACATAGTGAGACAGTATTTTTCTGCGGGACGCTGGTGAATTGTGTGGCCCAGGGGTTGCTCAGCGATAGGTGAGCCAAGGAAGGAACGTCCACAATGGACCGAGGACACTTGTCTATCCAGACTCTCTGGGATAGAGAGAGCTTGCAAAACGAAACTCCAAAAATAAACACAATTCTTTGGGCCCCTTTGGAGGCTGTTCTGCCTTGAAACTTTGACAGCTCATCTCTCTCTCTGTCCTCAGTTTACACTGTCATCCATTTCCGCACAGCAGACGCGTACTTGATCACGTGCCACGAATGAAGCTCTGAGCCAAGGACTGAGGCACTGAGGGGGCAAGCCCTTCCCTGATTTGCTCAGGACCTTGAAGCTTATTCCTATTTCTCCTCCCCTCCCCCACCCACTTCTAGCTAGTAAGCTCCTCCAGGACAAAGCCTCCTCTAAAAAAAAACCCTTTCTCTTCTGAACAGGAGCACATAGCCTGTGACAGAATTCTATACCTGTAAATAGTGGATTTCTAGCAAATTTAAGTCACCATTTCATTTCCCAGTGGTGCCTGGGAACAAAACAAAAAGCAGTATTTGTGTTTTCAGTAACTTTGTAGTGACCTTCTTCTCACAGTTTTGGAAATAAAACACCTCGTAAAAGCTTCTGTCCTGCTGGTTAGAACCCCGCCGTCTACTCTCCACCGACATGCATTGTTCAGCTTTTGCCAGAATCACTTCTCCTCCTGGCTCTCTCTAGAAAACGCAGTTTCTCTTGGCTGTAATGTCCCTTTGGTTAAAACATTTTGAGTCTGCAGCATGCAAATGTCCCTTTAAAGTTAACTTTCTTGTTTTGTTTGGATTTAACAAGTTATTTCACAGTTATTGTAGTTCCCTTGGAGTCAGGAGAAGGTCCTGAATGATGTTGCATGTGTCAGTTTTTTCTCCAATACTTGGACCCATTTTCACATGTCTTTGGAAAGAAATCTGTTTCTTTGTCCTTCAGGGTAATTACCACCAGCTCCTGCGAGATGTATATGCTGGGTCATGTCTGCATTTGGAATAATCCTTTTAAATAATCTTTTTTCTCCTAAGTTACAAAGCAATGAGGGTAGTTTAAATAGAAACCAGGTTATTCTAGGTATTCTTGAGCTACTCAGCTTTCCAAAAATAAACCCGATGACTGCTGTATCCTAAAGGGTACGTTTGAAGTCGTTGCTTTATGTGAAACTTCAGACTTTGAAAACTTCTATTTTTAGAAAATCAGGGCAAAAAGTAATACAAGGAGCCTGCCCGGGAGTTTTATTTTCTTGATGAAGAGTGAAGTTTGCTTTTTCAGAACTTCTGATGTCTTTCATAGGTAAGTCTGATGTTTCTTTGTAACGTTCTTTTCCAAAGTGAAAACAAACCAAAGCGTGACAGCCAGAGTCACACCAAGAAGTAGAAAAAGCTCATGAGAAGGCTGGTGAGTGGCCAGCCCTGGAGGGGGGCTCCGGTTTTCCCCATTCCGTGTGCAGGGCCTTAGAGGATGAGGGGGCAGAGAGGAGCAGCGGGGGGGGGGGTGCCATCAGCAGCTCCGGAGGGGCTGCTTCCCTTTCAGACGGAGCTGTGTTGGCACTGGTGTTCACACCTCTACCTGGACAGCTGGCACTCCGCAGCCAGAGTTCAGTTGGGGGATATTTAGACAAAGCGGATTTTAAACAAACCTCCTTTGTTTTATTTTAAATTGAAGTCTAGTTGGTTTACATGTTGTATTGATTTCTGGTGTACAGCATCGTGATTCAGTTGTACATATATATATTTTCTTTTTCTTACTCTTTGTCATTGTAGGCCATTACAAGCTGTTGAATGTAGTTCCCTGTGCTAGACTGTAGGACCTTGTTGTTTATCCATTCTGTATATAGAAGTTTGAATTTATCCCTCCCACCCCCTTTCCCTTTTGGTCACCATAAGTTTGTGTTCTATGTCAGTGAGTCTCTTTCTGTTTTGTAAATAAGCTCATTTGTGTCATTTTATTCTTTAGATTCCACATATAAGTGATATCATACAATATTTGACTTCCTCCTTCTGACTGACTTCACACAGTATGATAATCTCTGGTCCATCCGTGTTGCTGCAAATGGAAGTATTTCATTCTTTTTTATGGCTGAGTAGTATTCCATTGTATATGTATATACACACCACATCTTCTTTATTTTGGTTTTTTGAAGGCCACATTATTATGGTCATTTTACATTCTTTTGGCTTGCTATCCTAATACAGACTTGAAGTAACCTGGACACATGGCATTCTAATTTTTAAATATTTTAAGTGATTTTTTTTCCCCAAATGTTGTCAGAAGCCTAGGGCTCAGTGTTTTGAGATTCCAGTGCACATCTTTGTGCTGTTTGCCCAGTGACAGGCATGGCTATGCTGCAAAGAAACAGGCCGACTTGGAAGGAGCGAGTGTTTGGTGTGCAGCTCGAACTAAGTATGTGGCGTGTGGCACACCTGCGCCGTAGCTGTCCTGACCTGTTAGAGCTCAGCTTCTGCTCATTAGCCTCAGTGTTGCCTGTGAGACCATGGATAATAATTCTCATTCCTTTCCATGACGGTACTTCACTTATTTGAAGAGAAGTATCGTTACCTGTAAGCTTTGACTTTCTCGTTCTTCATGTGACACCAATGAGAACTGCAGTCTTGTGAAAATTCACTAAGAGACCAAGTTCAAGGCTTCCCAAGACAGAGGAAAGATTGTGGCCAACCCCAGAAAATGCTGGGCCTGTGAACATAACGGTTTATATAGAGGGAGTGACATCTCAGGTTCCAGTTTTCCTTGGCAACATTCTCCTGTCCCCAGGGTTGGCCTTTTGTACTAATTATCCAACTCTTGTTAACCCAGTGGCACAGCCCTGGGTCTTAGGATTCACTCAGTCTCCACCCAAGCTCCCCAAACTTTGCTGTCCTCCTTTCCTTTTGCTCCTGTCGTTTCTTAAAAACAGTAAAAGCTGGTCACCGGGTCAGGCATCTTACCCGGAGAACCTCAGCCTGCAGAGTTTGCTTTTTTCATGTGGGGTTCACTTTTAAATAGGAAAATTTAGAATGTTTTAATTACGCTGGGCTTGGGCTACCATATAGCAGAGAAGAGTTTAAAATAGTTTATGGAGGCATACATTCTTAAAATTCTTGCTAATGTTAAAGTTTTTTCAATGTCGTGGTTAGAGTGGGGGCACAGAATGCAGTGAACAGACCCCCTTGTGTGTTGCTGTTGTGAGTGTAAATACAGAAAAATGCTTGATAGATAAAGGAGTTCATTGCAGAATTACGCACATTGGAGACAAATTGTGTAGGAAACAGTAGAGGAAGAGCAGGCAATAGGGACATGGTCAGAAACAGTGGCACCTTGTATCACTGAATGCCAGGTCATCTTTTTAAATGTTTGTGTTATTGGTAACAATGGGGAGAATGCTGATGTATGATGTTAAAAGGCAGAAGCGGATATAAAACTGGATATGTTGTCTAGTTTCAACTAAATAGACAAAAACCTATGCAAAGAGGAATGGAAAGGACACCAAAGTTTGGTTTTTTTTTCTGAGTGGTAGGATGATGATTTTTTTTCTTTTTTATACTTTTACTTGGTTTCTAAATGTTCTTTGGTGTGTACTCCTTAATAAGCAGAAGAAATTTATGTTTTAAAGATGACTTTTTTTTTTTTTTAACCACCGAAGCTGATCTTTGCTGCACTGAGGTCACCAGCAGGGCTCAGAGCGAACGTCCGGAGTCTGGAGCTGCCTCACGTGTGTTCTCAACGAGACAAGGAATTACGGTTTGGAGTTGAAGTCACAGTAGAGCCATTGTACATGTGCACTGCTGATTTCCATTTCAGTGCTAGGGGCCTGTTATGGGATTTTAATGTAAATGTAGGTAAAAATATAGTCATCCTCCCAAGTATGTGGGGATTGTCTGCTTTGTTATACATTAACCAGCAGCAGTTCCTACTTCTCGTTTTAAATTTGACTTGGGAGTTCATATGGTAACGTGGCAGTTTGTGTTTTTAAAAACTTTAATACACCTTTTGCAGACTTTTCTAGTGTTTGTATTAACAGCCTCATTAATGAACAGATCAGAGAGCGAATAAATAGAACCAAAACCTTCTGCTGGAGATTCTGACAAGCGAGACAGTCCTTTTGTTCCAGAACATCAAAACCTGGTCTCTGAATCTAGTCTTGACACGTGCTGTTGAAAGCAGACTGCAGAGTAGTATTCCATTGTATAAATACACCACAGATTCTTTATCCAGTCATCTGTTGATAGACATTCAGGTTGCTTCCATGTCTTGGCTATTGTATATAGTGCTGCTGTGAACGTTGGGGTGCATATTTGTGGTATTTATACAATGGAATACTACTCAGCCATTAAAAAGAATAAAATAATGCCATTTGCAGCAACATGGATGGACCTAGAGATTGTCGTTCTAAGGGAAGTAAGTCAGAAAGAGAAGGAAAAATACCATATGATATCACTTACATGTGGAATCTAAAAAACCAAAAAGGGACACTATGAACTCATCTACAAAGCAGAAACAGACTCACAGACTTAGTAAACAATCTTATGGTTACCAGGGAAAGAGGGTGGGAAGGGCTAAATTTGGGAATTTGAAATTTGCAAATTTAGCCTCTATATATAAAAATGGACTTTTCAAAAGCTTCTTTTGTATAGCATAGGGAACTATGTTCAGTATCTTGTAATAACCTTTAATGGAAAAAATATGAAAATAAATATATGTATGTATATGCATGACTGGCACATTGTGCTGTACAGCAGAAATTGATACATTGTAACTAACGGTACTTCAATTAAAAAAAAAAAGAAAGCAGACTGCAGATGGTCTT